GAAGGTATAGGTCAAAGTACTGCAGTTCCTCTAGTGTCACATCAGTACTGTAGGACATAGCACAGGAACCATCCAGGACAGACAGAAGATGCAGCCATATACACGTAAAGCTTTATATGTATAACTGTATACATAAATTGGTCCTCCACTACTAAACAAATACATCGTTAATTTGTATCAGAATTTAACAGCTTTTTGCTTTCATTCTATTTTATAGCGATAATATTCAAACAAGTGCATTGATCACAGAGAATGTGGACCAAACTTTTTTTTTTACATTTCTTCGCTAATAGAAAGGAATATAGAGTTCCCCAAGAGACATGCGTTTGTGTGCATCTAGCTACTCACACGCGTTGCATATCACTACTGTTTATGCGATAGGAGTAAGTTGTGCTCACAAGCAGTATTCGACTTAGAGCCACACGTCAATCCCAGATTCACCTCTGACTGACCAACGTTCAAATCTAATATTACAGAGGTTTATGAATGCATTCACATACGGATATGGAACCATCTCAGAGTTATCTAGGAAATTTACACAGATCTATATACCCTCACAGTGTAACCACCAAAAACAGAAAGGAGAATGTATATTAATATAAGGGAAATACAAAAACATACAGTACATCACATGCTGTATCACAGGCTGGGATCAAAACAATAGTCAGACAATAACACCAATTCCCTCCCAATGAATCTTACAGTAAAACCACCACAGTCACCATCACACACATCTTCTATAGCTCTAGGGCTGCCTTGACATTCAACCCAAGGTTCTAGACCTTAGTCCTAGCCTGAACCAGTACCTGGGTAATGATGAATATGACGAGATCGCCTCCGACGACCAGGATTCTTCAACTCAAAGTCCCATTAACCAGCTCTGCAAACGTTGTAAAAAATATGTTTGGTACTCACCAAAATAAGGAGTTTCGCAGAGCAACTATTGTCATTACTGATGATACACACAGTATGTACTTCCAAAAACAGCCTGGTCTCAGACTAGAAGTAACATAGTAAACGTAAATCCAGGACACTCAAATTAGTATGATATGTTATGTTTGGTATGGTTACATAACACAGAATGTTACTTAAGGCAAAAGGAGGGAGGGTGGTGGTCGGGGTGGATGGGTGGGCGTATAAAGCGAACATCTAGCAACCCAAAAGGTTGCGCATTCGAATCTCATCACGGACAACTTAGCATTTTAGCAACTACTTTTTAGCTACTTTGCATGTTAGCTAACCCTTCTCCTATCCTTAAGCCTTTAACGTAACTCCCAACCTTAACCCTAACCCCTAGCCTAGCTAAAGTTAGCCACCTAGCCAACATTAGCAACAACAAATTGAATTCTTAACGTAAGTTTTGCAATTCATAATCTATCATATGAATTGCAATAAGTAACATATCATACGAAATGGATGAGGGACACCCACAAATGAATACATACCATACGAAACGTAACATATCATATTAAATGGAGTGCCATATTTAGGTGAGTACCGAACGTATTTTGAGCTGGTTAATCACCACATCACCAACAAAATAACATGGTCCAAGCACACCAAGACAGCCGTGAAGAGGGCACGACAAAAACCTATTCCCCCTAAGGAGACTGAAAAGATTTGGCATGGGTCCTCAGATCCTCAAAAGGTTCTACAGCTGCACCATCGAGAGCATCCTGACTGGTTGCATCACTGCCTGGTATGGCAACTGCTCGGCCTCCGACCGCATGGCACTACAGAGGGTAGTGCGTACGGCCCAGTACATCACTGGGGCCAAGCTTCCTGCCATCCAGGACCTCTATACCAGGCGGTGTCAGAGGAAGGCCCTAAAAATTGTCAAAGACTCCAGCCACCCTAGTCAGACTGTTCGCTCTGCTACCGCACGGCAAGCGGTACCGGAGCGCCAAGTCTAGGTCCAAGAGGCTTCTGAACAGCTTCTACCCCCAAGCCATAAGACTCCTGAACATCTAATCAAATGGCCACCTGGACTATTTGCATTGCCCTCCCCCCTCTTTTACGCTGCTGCTACTCTTGTTTATTATCTATGCATAGTCACTTTAATAACTCTACCTACATGTACATATTACCTCAATTACCTCGACTAACCGGTGCCCCCGCACATTGACTCGGTACCGGTACCCCCTGTATATAGCCTCGCTATTGTTATTTTTACTACTGCTCTTTAATTATTTGTTACTTTTATTTCATATTCTTTTATTGTGTTTTTTTGCGTGTTTTTTGGGGGTATTCTTTCTTAAAACCACATTGTTGGTTAAGGGCCTGTAAGTAAGCATTTCACTGTAAGGTCTACACCTGTTGATTTGATTTAATGGGACTTTGAATTGCAGGATCCTGGGCGTCAGAGGAGATCTCATCATATTCATATCATTTTTCTTCAAGCCCAGATTCTGCTTCAGTTCTAGCCTACAGCGGCACTCACAGGTCCAGCTAATATCGCATCAAGCTGTCGTTTCTTGCTCTTTGTTTCTCCAATAGGTTGTGAGAAACATGTTTGGGTTTAAAAATATATAAAAAATAAACATAAATGCACATCAAACGGTGGCTATTTGTGCTTTATCTACTCAAAGAACTGATCAAAAACATTACATTAACTATTCATTGGCCATGGACAATAGATACAAATCTGTGAGTGCTGTATATGTATTGTATACAAGAGAAAGCTCAATCATGTATAATTGTTTCTTATACAGAGATTCATCTTTAAGTAAAAAGATAGTCTGGGCAGAGTGGACATTTTGCACATTATGTTCAATGCTGCTGCCTACCAATAAGGGTTGACAGAGATGTCAACCCGTTTCCTAAAATAGACCGGAGGACTCCTGTTCAAAGAGGTGACTCAGTGGACATCAGAGCTGCTTTCTAAAACCCTTACTGCCCTCTAGTATTGGAGGCAACTACTCTCCCCTACTGCATCACCGCCAAACATAATATTAGTGCACTTTACAGAAAGGAGAGAAAAGATTTGCAGGTCTTTTCTACCTTCCACAATGCTATCATCACTGCGATCTGGACATTCGGACAGTACTGATAGCACGCCTTTCATGGAAGCTGCTGTGTGTGGATATGTCTAAAGTAGCTCAGTGGGTTAGACCGGGTTCTTTGGGGAATTTGTCATAGCGGGTGGATTTGTTTGGAGGACTGATAGCACAGACTTGAAGAGAAACAGCATGAAAGTAGCTCTAAGAAGGTGTTTTTAGTTTCCCATATACAATTTTTATTATACATATCTCTACTTATCTAGAGGTCTTTTTTCAATACGTCCTGTTTTCTTAAAACGACTAAAAGCAGCACTAGTTTGACTATGTAAGAGCACAGCTTTACATGGCATTAAGACAGGAATGCTTCTTTCCCACCTATAGCCATCAGGGACTGGAGTTACCTAGTTACACTATTCCCCAAGAAGACAGACGTCTTTCAACTACACTCCTTCACCTTGGGGACGAATACTAACCTGAAAATCGAAGTGCGCCCAACTCAAAGTGCGCCTAACTATCAATGCAGGATTTTCAAGTTAGGATGCAGACGTTCATAGACCTGTTTCGCTGTAGCTCACCTAAGAGTCTCTTTACGATGGAGAAACGAAGTTGTGTGAGTTACCACACACACCAACCGATCGAATCAAGTTGACACAACAGAGGCTAGAGAGCTGTGTGATGCGAGACTGTCTGTTGGATCTCTTCTGGTTTGTTATTCCAATTATACTATGTGACATTCAGGGTCCCAGATGGGCCCTGGTTAAAAAGAGAGGAAGGAGACGCTCAGCGAGGGTGGCGTGCAAACAAATATCCACTTACGAGAGAGAGAGAACACAAATGAGCAAAATCGAGGAGGGGAGAGGAGGGAGGAGCGATTAAAGGAGAAGTTTCCTTTTTATTTTACAACCAAATCTCTATTTTTGATGTAAATGGCATGTTATAGTAGGGTCCAGACAGCTTTGTGATTTCAAGTTTGAGAAACTTACCCCAAACAGCAAATCAATTCTTTGTCCTCATTGTATTTTTAGAAATGGCAAAGCCCACAGTATAGTGATGCAGGTCTTTAGATGTTGTACACATGAAATTGTGTCATTCCGAACTTTATCCGGAATGTTATATTCCCTTTTGCGTGACTCAAGTAGTTTGCCCTATCCAGCTGTTCCATTTCCCGTGTAGCTTGCTGCATGTAACTGCCAAAATAAAGGAAACCCCCAACAAAGCGTCTAATTGGGCGTTGGGCCACCACGGCCACTAGAACAGCTTCAATGCGCCTTGGCATAGATTCTACAAGTGTCTGGAACTTCCTGTATGGAAGCACCCCATGCTTTCAAAATACTTTGTATCCCTCATTTACTCAAGTGTTTCCTTTCTTTTGTCAGTTACATGTGAATGGATGGCGAGTCGCAACAAAATGGAATATAACGTTGCGGATAAAGTTAGGAATGACAATTTCATGTGTACAACATCTAAAGACCAGCATCACCATACTAAAATCTTTGTTTCTCGAAAAATGTGAAATCACAAGAAAGGTGTCTGAACCCTTCTATAACATGCTATTTACATCAAAAACAGAGATTTGGTTGTAAAAAAGGAAACTTCTGCTTTACAAGAGGGAGAGTAAAGAGTGAAAATGTGGTCAGAATGGAAGGAAAAGGGACAGGTGGTGGTCCGTGACAAGAGTACACAATTAACAAAAAGAAGTCAAGCTCAAATCACAAACGAAAACAATATCTGAAGACATTGTAAAAAAAAATATCAACACTGTACACAAATCTGAAGCAGTTGGAATGACGGCAAAAGCATCAGATAGGAGGAGAGAGCGAGAGAGAAGGAATAGAGTATAATTCAAAACCAAGCATGGCAAATATAAGTAGGACGATTAGAGAGAAGGGTGCAGGGGAGAGGAGGGAGGCTGGCATGGATACATAGCAGGTATACAGGACCAACAGGACCACAGCCCTCCGATGCTGCTGATATGCGGTGGAGGGAGAAAGAGAGGGAGCCCTAGTCGGACTTGTCCCCGTCCTCCTCACGGTGGTTGTCGGCTCCCTCGCGGGACGCCTTCTCTTCCTTGGCCAGCTGGGCCTGCGAGGCAAGGATGGAGGAGAGGGAGAAGAGGCCTGAGGAGGAGGTGACGGCTGGCAGTGTTGACTGGCTCAGGCCCAGGGGCATGGGGGTCATGGGCAGGGCCAGACCCTGGAGCTGGGACAGCTGGTGAGCCTGGAGCTGCTGCTGCGGACAACACACACACAGCTCAAACACAGGGGAGGTACAGAAGGGTGCATATGGCTCTCACACGCACGCACACACACACACAGAGTATATGATATACATATATGTACACACATATTATACATAAACCACAGGAGGCTGATGAGGGGAGGACGGCTCATAATAATGGCTGGAATGGCGTGAATGGAATGGTATCAAACACATGGAAACCACATGTTTGATACCATTCCAATGATTCCGTTCCAGCCATTACTAAGAGCCCATCCTCCCAATTAAGGTACCACCGGCCACCTGTGACATATACATATATACACACTGAGTGTACAACATTAGGAAAACTTGCTCTTTCCATGACCGACTGACCAAGTGAATCCAGGTGAACGCTATGATCCCTTATTGATGTCACCTGTTAAATCCACTTCAAATCAGTGTAGATGAAGGGGAGGAGACAGGTTAAATAATAATGTTTAAGCCTTGAGACAATTGGAGACATGGATTATGTATGTGTGCCATTCAGAGGGTGAATGAGCAAGAAAAAATATTAAAGTGCCTTTGAACGGAGTATGGTAGTAGGTGCCAGGCGCACCGGTTTTAATGTGTCAAGAACTGCAACGCTGCTGGGTTTCACGCTGAACAGTTTCCTGTGTGTATAAAGAATGCTCCACCACCCAAAGGACATTCAGCCAACTTGACACAAGCTTTCGACACCTTGTACAGTCCACTACCTGACGAATTGAGGCTGTTGAGGGCAAAAGGGGGTGCAACTCAATATTAGGAAGGTGTTCCTAATGTTTTGTACACTCAGTGTAATACACACACACACACACAAAGATCATTTATCATCATCTTCAATACCTAAAGCACTAGACCAAGCTATAGAAAAACCCAGAACAGCAGATGTATCATAATAGAGTGATAGATAGCGCTGTTAAATAGTGATAGAGCAGCAGTAACCCCACAGAGGAGGGGCTGGAGGGAGCAGCCTACCCGGATGATGGAGTTCATCTCTGGAGGGGTGACCTGCTTGGCCCTCTCGATGGCCCCCAGGACCTGCTGCTGGTGCTGGGGGACAAACACACACACACAGAGGGGGGTTAGATGGATCAATACTACCAACACTGACCCTGTGCTCCTCACCCATTCAGTTATTCAGCCAGCTACCACTAACAGAACACAGGGCTCTGATGGAGAATCAATGATCTACTCCCATGTTTGAATGGGTCAGGGTCAACTCGTCATGGACACAAATGAGCACATCTTATCTGGATCACAGCAGAGCGCTCTGGACCCTTTCATTACAGGGCTCTCAATGATGAATGGAGGGAGGACAGAGAAAAATATAATACAGGAAGGGAGGGAGGGAGGAGAGAGAAGTCAAATGAGAATGATCTCATTCCAGGCTAAGGGTGCCACGTGGGGTTGGGTTAGGGGTTAGAGGGTGGTCTTACCTCCTGGGACAGATAAGGGAGGACTTGGGCACAGATCCCGTTTAATCTCTTCACAATCTCAGCCTGAGGAGATAAAACACATCAACCCTTTGCTTCATTTAACAACCCTCAGTCTCACATCAACACAGACCCAAAGCACCCAAAGGGCACTTCACAACAAGCACACACACATTCAGAATGTAGGATCTTAATTTGATCACTTTTTTTTTGCTGAGAATTTTCCTGCACTGCAGGAAATGCAGACGAGCTTCATGATTTACATAAATTCACTGAAAATCCACGGTTATATTAACAGTATTGCACTTTTCAAGTAGCCTACTTTTGGCCAGCTAATAGCCTAACCACCAATCAAGCAACATGCAGGATTATTTTGCTGTGACAATGTAGGTAAAATTAAGATCCCACATCTGTACACGCACACACATTACATCTTGTTCGGGCAGTGATTATCATAACCAATTCAGATATGCAAAGCAGTATTAACTGTGTTACTTTCTAATTCAACGTGATATCTGAGAAGAGACCTCATCACACTCATTACTATGCACCGCAGCTCCAGATGAACCATTACACTCTTATCACTATCATGCACACCGACATCTCTCGCTCTCTCCTCTAAACATTTATTTTGTGTCTCCTCTCTTCTTTCTATACGCACACAAGTTCACGCACACACACACACACACAAATAAGAAGAGATGCCGAATGTTTTGTCAGGCGGGAGCACAATTCATCTAGGCTAACCGGAGAGAGGGTTCGCAACTGGCAGGGACAAAAAATAAAAATAAAAAAAACTGAGAGAAAGAAGAAATAACAATTTCAATATCTCCCTGGCACAATCCCTGACTAAACTGTCTGGAGCTCCTCAGCTGAAGAGAACAGAGAGAAGAACGCGAGGGAGGAGAGAGAAAGCGAGGGAGAGTGGGAGGAGGAAGAGAGCAGGCTGAACACAAAACCCAGATGTGAATTCTCCTCGACATTCAGTTCTACACATCCCCTTCAATTTCAACTCTCTAATGCTGCCGCAGTTCATCTGCACCCACTCACACACAAAGACACACAAAGCACGCACGCACACACACACACAAACGGGCTAACAAAAGTGTGGATACACACACACAGGCAAACATAAGTGGGGATACACACACGCAGCTCCCCTCTCTCTCGCCTCTGAATTTCGAAATATTTCATCCCCGTCAAATAAAGGAGTAGGGGTGATGAATTGTGCTCATGAGGCAGAGTGGGGGCTGTGTATGCGCTTGTGAGTGTGTGTGTGCGAGCGAGTTCGTGACTCAATTTTTCACTGTGTGTTCCGTGCTGCCGGTGTGGCTATCAGGGAGAAGCCGTCAATCTTTTAGGGTGGCCACCACCGCCAGACGAGGTTGCAGATAAGGCCGGGTCCACAGAGGCCCATCGCTCTCCCCCGCAGCCTGCCCATAAATTACCCCCCCCAGCAACACCCACTGATCTATGGGCACTGGGCACCAGATGAGCCCCTTAAGACAGTAGTACGCTACTCTTCCACTGACCATGTAGGAATATACCTAGATTAGAGCTTTCACCTGTGCAGTACTGTACTGCTCCTTCCATTAGAACAATCCCTCATGCGAGTAAAACTGATCGGGTGAAATTATGAAGCAAGTGGACGGAGAAATACAGCTTTCCTCTATCCAATCAGGGCAGCAGGATCAAGGTACAGCCCGCCCTTCTCTTTATAGCCAGTTGAGTTATTTAGACCACCTAGAACCTTGCACATGACTGATTGACATGAGAAAGATGCGTGCTGGCACCTGAAAGTAACTTTTTTCCCCGATCACGGATAATTACAAAAAAATACTTGGATCATAATCGTACTCCGGAAACTGCCCATATCCGTTACGATTCTTGTTTTGTCCGACTACTCGGCACACCCCTAATGAGAAGAACAGATTCCCATCTCAGATATCACTGCTGAAGAAGGGGTTCCTATTAACGTAGAGGGGGAGACTTACCTGCTTGTGCATTTCGATGTTCAGCCCATAGGACATCTCATAGTACTGTAAAGCAGAAGGAAGATGAGGCGTTATTATATACAGTATAATAAATGGAAGGAGGGAAATCACATCATGTCCTGTAGACAGATTGTCTATATGTATTTCTGACTGTACCACAGAGCAGTCTACAGCAGCCATCTCCTGGGTGTCATGTATCATGTCATTACACCAGCTAAAACCCTTCACACACACATCCTGGTATAGGTGTCCTTCTGTGTGTCACTGTGAGAAGACAAGGGATGGTGCGTGTGTGTTAATGAGCGGGCCAGTGGCTCTGCATTAGCCCTGTTAAATCACCCGCTCTGTCTGTGAGGGCATGGGCTCCAGCGCTCTAAAACAAACACACACACACACGAGAGAGAGGGAGAGCAAGCCTTCCGCCCCAAACGGCATGTCCCTAAAGCAATTACGGTGCTGGGGAAATGGAGGTGCTTGCGTTAGCAGGCGGCGAAGCGGGGGAACCCGATAGGCAATTAGGGGAGGGGGAGCCAGGCTGGGCTGGGGCTACACACACACTGACCCGCTGATGGATACGAGTGCAGCACAGATTAGATGAGATTAAGCCAGTCAACGGATCAATTAGAGACAGAATATCAGACAGCTACACAGGCCTGGCCAGAGACAATGAGATTAGCTAGAGGTGGAGAGTATGGGTCGGGGGGAGGAGGGGAGGAAGAGGGGGAGGATGACATAACGACACCAGAGACAAAAAGACCACAGATGAGATGAGGAGGAATCATAAGAGGGAGGAGAGAGTGAACAAGGACATGGAAATACACAGAGAAGAGGGGGAGGGAGGAGAAAGCGATAGATGGGAACAGGGCTACAGAGAGGAGGGGGTAGAATAGAGTAGAGACATGAGACAAAGGTAAAGGAGAGAAATCATATGTTCAATATCGCTGTATACTTTAGCAATACTGCTATATGTTGTAGTTGCAAGACTAAAATGGTGCCAAATTCAATTACGCGTTGCAAAACTATCCTATAATAAAAGGTGAAAATATGTTTTGTAGAGATTTCATATCATTTCAGTGTTTAACATCCCCCTGCCTGTACAGTAGGTGGTATGAATGTGATTCCATGTGACTGGACCAATGGGCCCTGGGGCAGACTTTGACAGAGCAGGGTCACTCACTCCACACGGTCACAGCACAGAAACACACACAGACTCTCACCATGATATAATGACGCTGCATCTCAGACTTCTCACTTGCCAGCTTGTCACACTCCAGCTTCAAACTGCGGAGAAAGGAGAGAAAAACAGAACATCTTTTTAGTCTACAGGAAGCATCTCTTCAGAGAGCCAGGAAATGACTTCATCCTTCCCTCAGCAGATCTAACATGGTGTCAATCCACCAAAGGATCCCAAATAAACCCCAATAAAAGGCCAATATATGCACCCAGAGTGCTTTAAAATGTCCTGCCTATAAATAGTGGCTGGTTGGTGGATGTGCAGCTCTGTGACGCGTCGCCGACAGCCATTAGCTGTAATCATGTCAGCGTGCTCGCTGCAGATGTCACAGGTGGTGAAAGGACAAAGGAGGCCAAGTCACACCACTTGTCACAAACTTGGCTACCATATTGGAATGGTTCCGGTGTTGACGTCCCCCCTGGAAAGTATTCTGATCAATACTGATACACGGAGGGAGAAAGAAAGGTTTATATCAGACAAGGGTCTATAATGGTGTATTTACATTAAGATAGTCTTTGGGCTCTGGATCTGTGCCGTCAGTGTCACTGTGAATGACGGCTCAATTAGGCAGAGCGTTAGCTGTGGCGAATTCTCATCATTGGTCCTAAATGGGAAACTGCTGCTCATAGCCACCACTGATTCTGTCACTTACACTGAAAAATTGTGGATGCAAATGGAATCATAAAAGTGGCGCTGTTAACCCAGCCCAAAGTGAAAAAGGTTAAAAGAATAAACCACCTCATTACAATTCAAGAGCAGTCCTCAGATTCCCTGACCAAACAAGTGCTCAGGGGGCGCATTTCATTCAGACAGCTCTCTCCATCCGGCCCTCCATCTCTACTCCTCTTTCGCCTGCAGTCTCCACTTAGCCGAATCGCTTTTCCCTTCTTAAAAAAAAAAAAACTCCAGCAGCAGCCACACACACAGGGGTTGGTTGTCATGACGACCAGCCTCCCCTGCTGCCACCCTACCTGAGACCCTATTGGGATTGTCTTTGTGCGCCTGTGATTGGTGGAGGCGGCCCAGGGGTCCGGAGTGACGCTCTCAAACGACACTTTGATAGAGTTTTATTGCCGCTCCTTCCGCCTCTAAATCGCTCCTGCTGTCATCTTTATTTTGATTTATGTATTCCCTGAACTATTTATGCATGTGAAGGAGGGGGGAGCGACAGTTACAATGCTCGCTACTATGCTCAGGAGACCGACTGCAGAACATTTCCCTTTAAAAGTGCTGAATGCAGCGTTCTACAAAGCCTTGTCTACGACACTTCAGCTCAAATCAATAGGCGCCGCGTATGCATGCTCCGAATACGACGTAGAGAAAAGGTATTCTTTCAACTGCTTCTGTCTGTCTCTGAAGGGGGTTAAACGGTGGGGCGGTGGGTTGTCAGGGGAATTACACACCAAAGCCCAGGCACTGAGGTGTTCATGCTATAGGAACAGACTGATGATCAGACAGAGAAAATTTCACACAACGAACGAACATGGCCTTTTATCTCGCGCTCCTCTGATGAAGCTCAATGGAACAGGGAGGAAAGAAAACCTTAGCCAATACACTCTAGTTCCTATACCACAGGTAAAGAGAGGGGGAACCAGATTAAGTCAGAGCCCTGAAGCTGCTGCTTCAAAGGCTAAAAATCCATAAAGAATAAACCTTCCTTAGGAAACGAGATCCATGAACTCCATTTCAGTCATGAATTAAACAGCAATACACTGTACACTCCGGTACATCTTAACTAATTACCTCATACCATCTAGCAATTGGCAATCTTGTTGGGTTGTGGCTATAGTGGTACATCATAACACTGCTTTCTATTACATGAAAGAGAACTAAGTTGTAGACTAGGGTTCCAAATGGAAGTGACGCACACATCTATTGGTCTGCTCCTAAAACAAAATAGCCTATTTTCATGTATTTTCCTTCTCTGGTGCAGCAGAAGACTACTAGAACAAAACATGTATTTGTCTTGCTGTGATTTATTTGGCATTCTAATCATGTAGGTTATTCCTGTTTGATTTTGATAAAATAACCATGTGGTGCAGCAGTGTATTTTAGTGCTGCACACTACATAAACACTTACGGCAAATAACTGAATTTCAAACCCTGCAATGAGTTTCTAGTCCAAGGGAGGGTATTATCTTGATCCCCACAAATATCATAGGTGTTTGAAAATCACTCTTTTTAAAATGTTTTAACTTTTGATAATGTCATCAGGTAGAACGTTTTAATGTGCCATTTTTACATATGTTGACACTGGTATTGTGCCGGAGATAATGAAAATGAGGTTGAAAGTTGGAGGAGTTGCCTTTTAACTACAGATACTAGTTCCTATGATAAGCTGTGGTTGGAGGGCGTGAGTGTGATAAGTGTTAAAAAAAACGTACCTGTGGTATTGTGCTTGGAGGAACTGGAACTCATCCTTGATTCGGTCACACGAGTCGGAGGTCGTGAATTTCAGCTGCTGCGATGAAGCCTGCGAGAGGGATAGACAGAAACACCATCAAACAAGTCAGTGAAATCAAACAGATCTGGCCTGGCTCACACCAGTAGGAGTGAGTTTTGTATTACATTTACGTCATTTAGCAGACGCTCTTATCCAGAGCGTATTGTCATCAGAATAGAATTATATATATTTTTTGTTGCTCCATTCCACTGTTCCGACCAGCAACAGCAAAATACATGTTCTAAACCGGTTCGAAACAAAAAGTACCGGTTTATAGTGTTCCTTTTTTAAATTAAGCTTGACATTAAATGACTTCACCAATCAGTGCTGAAAGAACAGCTTGCTATGAAGGGGGCAAGCTACAGCCTAGTTGTTTATATGCGTGATGGACAGACATGTAGGGCGCGAGATGCGACTGACATTATGTGGATGGGGAGGAGAGCGAATTTGGCCTACAGAATTATACCTACAGAGGAGCGGCTTCTATGGAGGAACTTTGAAAGTCTGAACTTCCGACAGTTGGCTTAACATTGGACCAGGGCTAACATTAGCTAGCTAGCTAAAAAGGTTGTGTGTAGAGCATAGGCATTTTTTGTGGGACTTGAACATAAAATACATGTTATTAAGAGGTTCCCATGCTTATAAAATAACAGTATAGATCACTTTGGTTCCTGGTTCGGATTCTGTTCCTCAATATAGTTATTTTCCGGTTTTCGGATCCGTTCCCTGAACCGGTTCCAACACGATTGTCATTACAGTCACATTACTTTACAAACAGTAGTGGTGGCAGATGGACTCTGTGTCTTTGTGCCAAACTCACTTCAGCTTTAAACCCAAATTGGAACAAAACCTTATTTTTCAGCTGACCACATAATGGGTCGAGTGGGAAATCTCTTAATTAAATATGTGGAGCATTTAATTTAAAATAAATAACTGTAGGCCTATTATATAGTTTACTCAATAAAAATCTATACAAAATAAATTGTGATTTCCCCACTCCCGTTGACTCACTCCAGTTGTAGCCATTGCCAAGGCGCAATCTCTACTTTCCCTCCGATGCCAACGTACAGTATGTCAGTGAATGAAGCCAAAGACAGTACAGTATGATAGAAATCCCTGATCACACTTATACGCAGAACTGCGCATGTGCATGCCGTCAAATCAAAAACACTCCTTCGATATAGGGTTTTTGATGAAAATGAAAACGTGTCAGTTTGTCACTTTCACGAGGTTGGAGTACTAACATGTTTAACTACTTAAGAATCTAGGTTGTGCCTTTACATTTCAAGAAAATTAACAACTAACAAATCATTTTTCACTTCTCTCATTGACTTCTCAAACCCCAAACCCTAGCCTGGTCTGCTTCACAAGGGTTCCCGGAAGTCTCGCAACGTAAAAAATCCATATTACAGCCTGTGTTGTGATAATTACGTTGTTTGCTTTATAGCCCATTCATTCATACGCCAGCGTTATATAGAATAAGGCAGTGACAACAGTCACACAGTGGCGGAATAAATTCAACTACACATACGTTTGTTTCATCACAAAACCGGAGAGCAACATCTGTCCGGTGAAGTACAGAAAGCAAATATTGCATGTAACAAACAGTTATGACCTGCAACATGGTCAAGTTCGTTAATGTTTGACAGTTTAGTAAACAACTACTGATTTACAACCACAGAGTTACCGCAAGTCAGCACAAAGACAACAGGAGCACTGCCTCAGCTATTTCAGAACAATTTCAACTTAAACATTTAAAAGTCAAATCATCAAGGCTAAATATGCTTAGTTTAATACACTGAAAACAAACTTAAAAAGACACCAAAAACAATTTAGTCCAATCAATGTTGCTAAATATCATGTGGCTGTCCATGGTACTGATTTCTGTCTCTGTGTGATGTGCAGTGGTGGAAAAAGTACCCAATTGTCATACTTGAGTAAAAGTAAAAGACACCTTAATAGAAACTGACTCAACTAAAAGTGAAAGTCACCCAGTAAAATACTACTTGAGTAAAAGTCAAAGTATTTGATTTTAAATATACTTTAAGTATCAAAAGTAAAAGTACAAATAATTACAAATTCCTAATATTAAGCAAACCAGACGGCACAATGTTCTTGTTTTTTTAATTTACGGATAGCCAGGGGCACACTCAGACATAATTTACAAACAAAGCATTTGTGTTTAGTGAGTCCGCCAGATCAGAGGCATTAGGGATGACCAGTGATGTTCTCTTGATAAGTGTGTGAATTGGATCATTTTCTGTCCTGTTAAGCATTTAAAATGTACTTTTGGGTGTCAGGGAAAATGTATGGAGCAAAAATTATTTTCTTCAGGAATGTAGTGAAATAAAAGTAAAAGTTGTCAAAAATATAAATAGTAAAGTGAAGTACAGACACCCAAAATAACTACTTAAAATCAAATCAAATTGTATTTGTCACATACACGTGTTTAGCAGATGTTATTGCGGGTGTAGCGAAATGATTGTGCTTCTAGCTCCGACAGTGCAGTAATATCTAACAAGTAATATCTAACAATTTCACAACATATACCCAATACACACAAATCTAGTAAGGAATGTAATTTAAGAATATATACATATATGGACAAGCAATGACAGAGCGGCATGGACTAAGATACAGTAGAATATTATAGAATAGAATACAGTATATACACATATGAGATGAGTAGTGCAAGATATGTAAACATTATTGAAGTGACTAGTGTTCCATTTCTTAAAGTGGCCAGTGATTTCAATAGGCAGCAGCAGCCTCTAATGTGCTAGTGATGGCTATTTAACAGTCTGATGGCCTTGACATAGAAGCTGTTTTTCATTCTCTCGGTCCCAGCTTTGATGCACCTGTACTGACCTCGCCTTCTGGATGATAGCAGGGTGAACAGGCAGTGGCTCGGGTGTTTGATGTCCTTGATTATCTTTTTGGCCTTCCTGTGACATTGGGTGCTGTTGTAGGTGTCTTGGAGACTGCACCACCCGCTGGAGAGGCGGTGATACAGCCCGACAGGATGCTCTCAATTGTGCATCTGTAAAAGTTTGTGAGGGTTTTAGGTGCCAAGACAAATTTCTTCAGCCTCCTGAGGTTGAAGAGGCTCTGTTGTGCCTTCTTCACCACACTGTCTGCGTGGGTGGACCATTTCAGTTTGTCAGTGATGTGTATGCCAAGGAACTTGAAGCTTTCCACCTTCTCCACTGCGGTCCCGTCTATGTGGATAGGGGGGTGCACCCTCTGCCATTTCCTGAAGTCCACGATCATCTCCTTTATTTTGTTGATGTTGAGTGAGAGGTTATTTTCCTGGCACCACACTCCCAGAGCCCTCACCTCCTCCCTGTAGGCGGTCTCGTCATTGTTGGTAATCAAGGCTACTACTGTTGTGTCGTCTGCAAACTTGATGATTGAGTTGGAGGCGTGCTTGGCCACGCAGTCATTGGTGAACAGGGAGTACAGGAGGGGGCTGAGCACGCACCCTTGTGGGGCCCCAGTGTTGAGGATCAGCGAAGATGTTGTTTCCTACCTTCACCACCTGGGGGCGGCCCATCAGGAAGTCCAGGACCCAGTTGCACAGGGCGGGGTTCAGATCCAGGGCCTCGAGCTTAATGATGAGCTTGGAGGGTACTATGGTGTTGAATGCTGAGCTATAGTCAATGAACAGCATTCTTACATTGGTATTCCTCTTGTCCAGATGGGATAGGGCAGTGTGCAGTGTGATGGCGATTGCATCATCTGTGGATCTATTGGGGCGTTAAGCAAATTGAAGTGGGTCTAGGGTGACAGGTAAGGCAGAGGTGATATGATCCTTGACTAGTCTCTCAAAGCACTTCATGATGACAGAGGTGAGTGCTACGGGGCGATAGTCATTTAGTTCAGTTACCTTTGCTTTCTTGGGTACAGGAACAATGGTGGCCATCTTGAAGCATGTGAGAACAGCATATTGGGAAAGGGAAAGATTGAATATGTCCGTAAACACACCAGCCAGCTGGTGTGCGCATGCTCTGAGGATGCGGCTAGGGTTGCCGTCTGGGCCGGCAGCCTTGCGGGGGTTAACATGCTTGAATGTCTTACTCACGTCGGCCACGGAGAAGGAGAGGCCACAGTCCTTGGTAGTGGGCCTCGTCGGTGGCACTGTGTTATCCTCAAAGCGGGCGAAGGTGTTTAGCTTGTCTGGAAGCGAGACGTTGGTGTCGTGGCTGGTTTTCCTTTTGTAGTCCGTGATTGTCTGTAGACCCTGCCACATACGTCTCGTGTCTGAGCCGTTGAATTGCGACTCCACTTTGTCTCTATACTGATGTTTTGCCAGTGTAATTGCCTTGCGGAGTGAGTAGCTACACTGTTTGTATTCTGCCATATTCCCAGTCACCTTGCCAAGTTTAAATGCGGTGGTTCGCGCTTTCATTTTTGCGCAAATGCTGCCATCTATCCACGGTTTCTGGTTAGGGTAGGCTTTAATAGTAACAGTTGGCACAACATCACCTATACACTTCCTGATAAACTCAGTCACCGTTTCAGTGTATTCTTCCAAATTATTTTCGCAAGCTACCCGGAACATATCCCAGTCCGTGTGATCAAAACAATCTTGAAGTGTGGATTCCGATTTGTCAGACCAGCGTTGAATAGTCCTTAGCACGGGTACTTCCTGTTTGAGTTTCTGCCTATAGGAAGGGAGGAGCAAAATGGAGTCGTGGTCAGATTTGCCGAAAGGAGGGCGGGGGAGGGCCGTATAACCATCCCGGAAGTTCGAATAGCAATGGTCGAGGATTTTAGCAGCGCGAGTACAACAGTCGATATGTTGATAGCACTTCGGCAGCCTAGTCCTCAAATTTGCTTTGTTAAAATCCCCGGCTACAATAAATGCAGCCTCAGGATATGTGGTTTCCAGTTTGCATAAAGTCCAGTGAAGTTCTTTGAGGGCTGTCGTAGTATCGGCTTGAGGGGGGGATACACACGGCCGTGACTATAACCAAAGAAAATTCTCTTGGGAGATAATACGGTCGGCATTTGATTGTGAGGTATTCTAGGTCGGGTGAACAGAAGGACTTGAGTTCCTGTATGTTACTACAATTACACCATGAGTCGTTATTCATGAAAACACACACCTCCGCCCTTCTGCTTCCTGGAGAGATATTTAATCCTGTCTACGCGATGAACTGAGAACACATTTGGCTGGACCGATTTCGACAGAATATCCCCAGAGAGCCACGTTTCCGTTAAACTAAGTATGTTACAGGCCTTGATGTCTCTCTGGAAAGAAATCCTTGCCCGGAGCTCGTCGAGCTTGTTAACCAGAGACTGAACATTAGCGAGTGGTATACTTGGAAGCGGTGGGTGGTGTGCGCGCCTTCTAAGTCGAACCAGCAGTAGTACTTTAAAAAGTATTTTTACTTAAATACCTTACAAAAAAGAAATTGGGACTCACCCTACTTGTAGACTAGTTGAACGCCAATGCCATCCTCCTCTCATGTTGGCAAAACGGTCTTTGGCTCTGTCATATAGTACGCTTTTAGTTTTTGTTGTCATAGGCTACCTAGCTAAAATGCTTGCTAGCCTAACTTCCTCACAAGGCAACAATGAACCAGCTAAGTTAGCTAGCTAGTTAACAGTTAACGTGACCCTAAAAGGGCTAGGCTACATCTAGGCTACATATTGAGCTTAAAATCGTCTGAGGACAGTGGTACAACATGCACTACATGACCAAAGGTATGTGGACACCTGCTCGAACATCTCATTGCAAAATCATGGGCATTAATATGGAGTTTGTCCCCCCTTTGCTGCTATAACAGCCTCCACTCTTCTGGGAAGGCTTTCCATTAGATGTTGGTGGAACATTGCTGCAGGGACTTGTTTCCATTCAGCCACAAGAGCTGGGGTTGAGGTCAGGGCTCTGTGCAGGCCAGTCAGGTTCTTCCACACAGATCTCGACAAACCATTTCTGTATGGACCTCGCTTTGTGCACAGGGGCATTGTCATGCTGAAACAGGAAAGGGCCTTCCCCAAACTGTTGCCACAAAGTTGGA